GAATGTTTCAAACAGGAGTATTTTTTGTTTAAACATATTTTAGTCCGCTAAAAATTAAAAATAATAATATTGACTAAACAACAATTAATGCCTCGTGATCATGACGTATTCATTGTTTTGGGGTGAAATTACGCGGTCTTTGTCTTGATATTCCCATATAACTATAAAGCATTAAACACAAAATATAATAACATAATTTTATAATAATATTCATGAAAGACCATCGTGAACACGTGGCTGTGGTGGAAGGTTATAACATTTTCCTAGGAAAATGTACGTAATATTTATAGACCGACTTTGTTTTGCAAAATAAGCTCTAATTAGTGTGCGTAGGCGTTTGTAATAAGTGAGTGTTAGTAAAATTCTTGAACAATTTCCTCGACAAATGCATAACATATTTTATAATAGCAATAATAATGTAGTTATAGCCGTCGATTCAAAATTTCAAACATATAATTCTGCCATGCATATACTGTACTTATATACAGTTAAGCGAATTGAAAGAAACGTCACGTGCTATATTATAATATTGTGGTATGGCTTAAATGTTAATTTTTGTTGTAGTTTCCTGCGCGTTAAAATTGTCCGTAGGTACAATAATATTTTACTCTCGCGATGATCGTGTTTGCGTTCCACACGCACGTGCACGCTGGGCCAGATTTAGCATAATTATATACAAGCGTTTCATAAAAAATAAGAACGAACAAACAAAATTCCACAGACGAACAGAAATAATAATAATAATATAGACAATAGAAAATATATTAAAATGTTATAATATTAATATGAGTGTTGGTATTTTTTCATAAAAATATTACAATTTTTTATTAATACATTAATAATATCAACCAATTATTTTAAATTTCGAATGAAAGTTCTTATAACTATTATCATCGGAAACGATCAATTTATAAAACCGACACGAAATTATTAATATCGTAGTTTTTTATTTTTTTAAATTAACTATATCTATTAGGTATATACTTGTACAAATAAATATCATATCTCATAGTCATAATAAAATATCATATTTTAAATTACCATTGATATTAGGTTGAAATGAAATTTATTCATTAAGTAGTGTTTAATTTTCACCTATAAAAATGAAAAAGTACCACATAACAAAATACAGAAATCATATTTGTATTGTTGTAAGTAAAATACTAAAATATTGGATCCCTCCTGAGTATAACATTAAAGTTGCTATATTTTCAATATTTAAAGTAATTCCATTGTTTCTTAATAATAATAATAACAATTAAAAATATTAAAAATTTTAATTATAATTTGAGAACATGAGTCATGAATTCAGCGGCGATACGTGGACAATAACGACAACAATGACGGAGGTAATGACCGTAAAACGTGCGTTATCGTTTGTCTGTGATCGAGTTTGATGGGAAGTAAATACGCCTGTTGATCATGGGGAGACGGGCAAGTAGAACACTCAAAAATACAAACACGCGTAATACCTCAACAATTCGAACTCAAGGGGATTGGAAGTGGTTGTCTGTCTATGTGCTGTGTCGCACGTCCCATGTTATATAGAAGTTGATTCGTATTATATTATTATCGACTTACCGACGCGGTATGGATTTTTAATTTTTGATTTTATCCACCGGAATTGCACGAAAAACTAATAAAAAAATACCTTGGAACTTAAAATTCATGTCGGTTCTGTACAAAATAATGTGAATACATGACAGTATGCACGAAAAACTAATAAAAAAAATTCTGAAGACTTAAAAATTGTTGCATGCTATTTTTGGGAACCTTAAATTAAGAACGTGAAACGATAATATACCTATATTATTTACGGCAAATAAATATCCTGTTTTCAGAATCCTTGACACGTCACTGTCAGATAGGACGGTGCGTTGAAAATAGAGTATGACTTAATTTTTATGTCGCATGTGTGATACTGATTTATATAGACTAAGACAGCAATTCCCTCAACAGAAGTTTCGTCAATGCATATACATTTTTATGGTTTTTTGGTGGTAATTTGATGGGTGAGGGTATATTTGTTCACGTGTATGATACAGGTATATAGGTCCAGCAGTAGATATTTCAAGATAATAATATAATCTCTGTCAATCGTCGACCAAACTCCGTGCAGACTATCGTTCGTCTGTCGTTAAGAAGATTTTTTATTTTGCCTTTCATTTGACACATGTAAATCTATTGCGAAATGATGTCATTATACGATTCTAACGTAATGTTCCAACAACGACGGGACTCTACTGCCAAAAACACTGTGTGTCAAAATATAAAATGTACACTCACGTTTTCGTAAGAAAATCGAAAAAACGGAAAACCGTTTTCCGCTATCACGTCGAGGAAGAACTCACTGCTATTGTGTTGACTCTACAGTACATTAGTATAATACGCATATACATAGGTCAGCATTCATAACACCCCCAAACCGCGATAAAATAGGTATGGCATGCATATAGGCAAACATAGGGGTGTGCTAAGCACTCACTACCCCGACTGACCATCGAATATAAGGTAGTATTGGGTATTTCAGATTTTTGAATGACGCCTCTGTTTTTTTTTTGTCACACCAAAATTCGAAGTATAAATAATATTTTACTATAAATTCTAAGTACGACAATATTACATCTCTGCTATTATTATAATGTATGCAATAGTAAATTATATACGTCTGAGAGCCTTTCCGGATGGACTCGCTGAATAAACTCGTTATACCCGATACACGGTGTTGCAGATCTTGCGTAGGAGTCTCACACGAAACGCGTTTAATGATTTGACCTTCCACCGCTTCAATAACACGAGTGCGGTATAAAATAAATGGGTACGGCGTCGTCGTTGTCGTCAACGACATAGGTAGAGAAGACTGCGTTTTTGGTCGCTGAAAGTGGGCGCCGTTCATCGTCGTACACACACACACACACACACACACTGCACAATGTATGTATTATATCATATTAATATAATACATTTATATTATATGTTATATACATACCGTCCGGCCGCCCATCGTCGACTCAGGAAATGCCTTTGGTCCGTCACTGCGACGTTTGACACGTGCCCCCTCCACAAGTGGTTTTCGACGCTGATGACGCTTCTCGAGAACTTCTAAACAATAAAATGTAACATAGAGGTATAATAATATACGTAATATTATAACAGAAATAACATATTTAATATGTAGTACGATGACGCCTCCACCGCCCACGGATTTAGTCTATATTTAAACTGGCCCGAAAACGTGGATATTATAATATTATCAACGACCTTGTACACAAACACATCAAAATCGGCGAATGCTCTCGACGAAATAGAAAAGCTACGAGTATACGCGAAGACGGACGCTTGGACGGAGAACAAGTCTTCGGTGTGGCATAATAATATTGTTGTTATACGTCGCCGTGCAGTTCGTTGTCCATGACCATTCGTTTCCGCGTGTGGCGATTTTACGACGGTTTAGATTCCGCGATTTGATCCGGTATACTAGGCGCTTGTTACCCGGACTCAAAATATGACAAACTCAATGTAATTAAATTAAATTTTTTTTTTTAATGTTCTATGTTCGATATTAATATTGATTATCATGAGATTTATCATACGAATAAATTGTCATGGTAAGTATTTATGCACAGTGGTCTATGCCTAATTTATTTTTGTCTGGGAGGGGGGGGGGGTTCACGGGTGTCTGGAGTACCTTCATCGGTCAGAGTAAACCGGTACACTATGATACTTACATTATACCATGGGACAACTTAAAATTATGCTGTATCTGGACTACCACAAATTGTGTTTATTAAAAAAAACATATAAATTCATATGTATAACAAATACACAAATACAATAAAAATATGTATTGGCACAGTGTCAGCAATATTTTATGTGTATAATTTAGAATTGATGTAACGTCGAAAACTGATTAATGCAAAAAATCAATGTTATTCGATTTTGTGATACATAAAAACTGCATTTCCTCTAACTTACAAAGATTTAATATAATTTAACTAAAGTTCTCTATAATTTATTAATGAAATAATAATATACTAATAATAGTATTATATAATTATTATTATACTTTGATTTGACAGAAGAATATCATAATATACTTATGAATTTTATTGTTTTTATGTTTTCTAAATCATATTTTTGATTCTAAAAAATACAAATATACATATAGTGATACTATGGATAATGGATTGATGAAATAGCACCTAATGCTTAATGGGTTTATGTACTTAAATACCTACGCAATATACGTATATTATAATAAAATGTGCTATAATACCGAGGTGCCGCCACGGGGCTTAGCTTTATATCCGAATACATTGGCGGACAACCGTTTTGCAAAATAAACACGCGACGACGCTTATCGCTACAACCTATACCCCCGAGGGTATATTACTATCGTGCATTCGTTTTTTATATTATTTTATCCGTTTACACAGATTGTATAATACAATTATTATATACCTATGTCCTTGAGCTAACGTTGCGCGTTACGTAGGTACCTATACCTTATATATATATATAATATATTATAATTGTTATGTATTAAATAACACGTCACACTCGTGTTAAACTACCGTAATACCATCGATACCAGTACACATGAAATACCGATGTGCACGATCAATCGAAAGGTATATATACATATATATATATATATATTGACAGCGTGTTCTCGCCAAAATCGATTTTTTTTTTAATTTACAATAATGTTATGTATATTATTTAAAACTGCACTGTTGATGTATATAACTTTACTCCGCAAATCATTAAAGAAAAAAACCAGAAAGCAATAATAGTATAAAACTTACTACATGTACCAATAACACTTTATGGTTATATGTTTTGACCTAACCTTCGAATTCTTCTAAAATATTTTGTAAAAGCGACTTTGTGCGCCTTTAAATAATACATAGACTACGCGACTATTTTTGCTCTATTATATTATAATTCTTATCAATTAGTATTTTCTAAATTTTGTTTTGTTTTTCATGGTGCTGCAGATGGCGGGGTTCCTGCAGGACGCTGAAGGTTCAGACTTACACGACATGAGTTCGGTAATCGAGGGTTTTCATAAGAAGAACAGCGTCGGGTCCATGGGATCGGCGACGGCGATGACCACGGCTGCCGGCAACCATATGGTGAGTTGCACAACCGATAAATGTGTATAATATTATATTTTGTGCGTGGGCGTTGTGATCGCAGTCTATCTATTTCGTTCCATTGTCTGTGGAATATTATAAACAACTCTATCGGATATAATAAACAGCAACTGTACACCTATATCTACACAACAATAATAATGTGTCTTATTTATTATTTCGCTCTTCATCGTTCGTTATTTGTATAGTTTTTTCCTTCGACAACTGCGTAGTCGCCGAACCACCTGTGTGCTGAGAAGTAAGATTAGCAAAACATCGCACTGATGTTAGGTAACACTTGAAATATCTGCGACGTTTTAAAAATATCAAAGTACTTCCCTTCGTTAATGCCTTATGTTTAATGTGACTCTGATTGTTCTTGTAGTATAATATTAATTGGCCATCACAAACCATTTTTTCGTTTTTTAAATGGAAATTATTTTAACAACTTGACTACAGAGATCTATTAGTCATTAATAAACTTTGTCTCAAATTTGAGTGTATTAATTTGAAAAGGTGATGCATTCGTTTTTTTTTTTTTTGATGCGCTCATAAAACTAACCTATACATACGTTCTTTTGAATTCATAGATTCATTATTAATTCAAAATGGGACGACAAGGTGACACATTCAAGTTTCAACAAAAAATTATTAGACTTTATAATTAATCTAATTTATATTATAAAAACCCTCTGAAAACCCCTAAACTAAAGGTTTCAAATATAAATTACATGTCCAAAATGTCAGTAAAAATTTTAATATAATCTCAAATTACGGTAAAGGTATGGTCGGTCTTATAGCTATTGGTATTCACATTATTAATTATTAGCATAAGTACCTTTTAAATTTAAACTTTGAAGACACGCCCTTAGAGGGTATAATTTTATGTAGTAGGTATCAGTTGCGCCGAAAGCCCGTGGTTATCATCTGTGCAAACAGACATTTTCTAATAGATTACATTCTATTTATTTTTCTGTTTCGTGGGAAATATGCAACACGAATATTTTTAAGGCACTCTAAAGGTATAGGACGAAAACCATAGCGCATAAATGACGAATCCGATCGTTGGTGATGAAGCCGCCATATTACTTGATAATCACATTTTACATACAATGTTATGATTAATATTGCAAGAGTAAAATATTACAATGAACATAGTACAATTCGTGTAGGGCTCGTTAAATATAATATTTTAAATGGAATTGTTAAGTTTGAAAATCGTGAGAAAACTTCTCTATAATATAATATGCTATTTCTAGAATTACTAAAGTAGATATAAATATAATATAGTTTTTATTAATACTAAAAACGTAGTTTTTGAAAAATAATGTTTGAGCATTTTAAGAATTTCGTATTTTCTATTTTCTGATCCTAGAAAATATCCAACTTATTGATTATTTTTTATATTTTTTTATTCATTTGCTACCCATTTAGTATATATGTTTACACATAACAATAATCGTATCTATTGTGCGTACGTTTGTACAGTTGAGTACCGTCTGACGGCTGTGTATACAATTAATTTGGGCCACTCTAGTAATATACAGTAGGTACTATTCTATAGGAATATTAGGCAGTGGAATATTGAGGTAGGTCTAAGAAATTGAAATTTAGATCTAAAATCGATAGTATTACACGTTAGGATATAATATTGTGAAAAGGGTAAGTCCGATTTTGAAATACGACTTATTTGTACTGATGTGCCTACCGGCTACCAATACTCGAGTTACCTGATATACTAACTATACAATCAATACCCATCGAGCCTCGACTCTGTCCGCATGCGATGTCGATGACAAGACGTCACAAGGATTTCTGTTAAACTGATGTCCGCACAAGGACTACATTTTAATTTTAATTATTTTCCAATTCTTTAAATGCGATGCTTCGGCGGGTGTATACACTGGTATACACTGTGCAATATCATATAACATAACATAGTGTATTAAATATGAACATACAATATTTTCTTATCGTGCGTGTGAAATAAAAATATTTATACGATTCTTTTCCTTTCGTATATATCAGAATTAATTATAATGGCATTTTATAACCATACGATATCACGCCACCGCCGAGGCCACACGCTTTTGAACGCACACAATAATATACAATGCTTATAAGTTAAAATAATAATATGATCCTGCAGCGGATCGAAGGTGACATAATATTAAATGATAATAATAATAATAACGACAAAAGTAGTTTGTGTGGAGAAACACGCGTGTAAACGGGCGTTACGAAATAAAAAAGAAATAATGATCATGACGGAGTAGGCCTACATGGCTACATGTATTATTATTTATATTAGGCATGTAACTATATTATTACTAGATATCGTGTCCTCGTGGGCCGAAGTTTCAAACGGAAACCCATTGCACACGATTTGTTTTAATAAACCGAAATCGAAATTGATTTGCAAACCGCATGATTCATCTTCTCACAACACTAAATGTCCACGTGTATACCTAACCTTATAAATAATATTATAATATATAGGTACCTACTATAATAATAACATGTGCAATGCGCATAATAGGTATAATGTCTCTGACTGCAAGAATTCACCACTGGTATTATGTTAATTTTCGTATTTCTCAAACGGGTGCCTGCGCCTATTGTTCATTGTGAGATCACAATATATTTTCCTCCCAAAGTGTCATCATTACAAACATCTAAACAAATTATACCGATTCTCTGTAGTATACATGATATATTTGATCAGAACACTCGCGTATAATATATAGGCAGCATGAACAATGATAAAAAGCTAAATCATTTTATTGTTTACATCATTTATGTGAAATATAACCGGGAAGCATATAATATTGTGTTTTGACATATTTCATCTTATTGCCTATATTAGTTAATAGTCATAATTTCACTACAAAATACAAACAAGTATAGATAGGTAGGTATCCAATATTTAAATATAAAATGAATAATATCCCTATATTATGTTAATTTAAAGTACCTACCTAGTTAATGAAAAATAGCGCTTATTAGATTATTAGATTAAAAAAATACTTCAACTTTAATACAATTTATTTTTCATATATTTACATGTTATATATTTTAAAAACATTAAAAATCGCGTAAGTGGGACAATTTTGAATTTAATCAGCATGCCTGTCAGCTTACAACCAATTTTACATTGATTATCGTATTATGTCAAATTTTAGAAAATGTATACTTTTAAATTATCTATTCCGTAATCCAAAGATTGCCATTACTGCAGTAATAAGTGCGTCATCTTATTAGGTACTCCATAAGATGTTTGAATAAATTTTTTTTACTACTAGTTTGAAAATTTGGATCATCGATTGGAATTTTTATATTCTTATTTTAATTACGAAGTCATGTATTTTTATGATATTCGATGTATTAATCTATCTAGTTTGTAAATTTGAATAGTTTATCATATATTTTTAAAATCGCTTATACAGGACGCACATTTGGATTATTAACGTGAAAAGCATTATGGTATTGATAAACTATATTAGTTTTTAATGAATACATTATACTACAATTTAAAAAAAAAACTTAAATCGATAAAAAAACCAAAAACGAAAATGTTTGATTTGATTTGTTTTCAAAAGGCGTCGTCGAAGAAGAACACGTCATCGTCATCTTCAAGTTCTAGGACGATGGAGTCGTCGTCGTCCACGTCATCTTCGTCATCCTCCTCTCAACACGTCCTGCACCGACAGGTGTCTGAAATGACGACCACGTCATCCGAACTACAAAATTCTCAGCTGCTCCAACAGCGGATACTCATGGACAGCGGTGACGTTACCGCGGTTAACTCCGCGGTCACCGAGGACGTTGACTGCTGCAACCCTGCCGACGGGGCAGACCCGTTGGTCACGTTTCCCGAGTCGCCTCCCGTTTTGGTGTCCAAAGTGTCGCCTCTCCTCAACGCGTCCGCCACCCGCCCCAAACCAGTCCGCGTGGCCGTGCAGGACGTACGACTGAAACACCCGACCGCGGCCACCACAGCGGCGACCACCGAGCGGCGCGTGTCCACATCTAAATTGGTCCAAGAGGCGTACGAGTCGTCGTCGTCGTCAAGCAGCACCAGCAGCACGGTCTCCGACTCGCAGGAGGTGCTGCATGGTGACGTCCGCAAGCTACACGCGGCCAACGCCCTCCGAGCCAGGCTCGCTGGTACCATCGGGAGCACCATTGCCAACCGCGAAACCGAGACCGCTCTGAACAAAATCCAGGTACGGACGTGACGTGGTTATATTATGGTCCGGGAGTTTAATGTGATAACAATGTATATGTCTGGTGAACTGTGTCTCTGCAGGAAGTGATGACATAAATATCTTGTATTTTAAGTACTGCGCTATAAGATCCGAAAATGTATACATTTCTACATATTATCTCAGCTAGGTCCCGCAATAAGTATAGATATATGTATACTATATCGTAGGTTTCTGACATTTCTAATCGCGGAAAGTCCTTGACCTACAGGACGTGTAGATCAATCGTGTGCGTAGGGGAAACTCGACAATCGTTCTTAATATTGTCGATGAAAGTGAGTCACTGGTACTCAATGCGGTCGAAGCACGAATGTTCTATTCATAAAGTTCTCATTTAAAATAATTTGTGCGGCGATTGCCATCTAAGATCTTTGAAACGCCGATGTTTGGCCGGGACGTGGATAAAATTCTTAAGACTCTTAATTTGGTTTTTACTCAACGAAAGTGTTATTTACGTAAGTTTCATGAGTGATTCAACACACGTGTACAAGTAGGATCATATTTAATCGAATGGATTTTTGCACAGTATTTGATTGTTTTTATATTTTATACATCTTATTATCGTAATAAATATTATATATAGGTATTGAAGTAACATTTTCTGGAGTTATTTATTCTGATTTCGAAATAATCTTCCCGTATTCACTCTTAAATCCTGCAATTTAGAAAACGATACTACATTATTAATGGAAAAAAACCGTGTTCTTATACCTACATTATATATTTTAAAATTAAGATTAGTCTTTTTATAATTTATTAATACATTTAATATCCTTTGATTTATCAATACCCGTTGTTTTATATATATTATGCTACAGATTTTTGTCAACGGTGTAGTTTGTTCCTTGAATCGAACGAGATAAGACATAGATATACATGTATAACTGCACGACCGTGTAAAATATGGAATCTCAGTATGATGTGGCTTACACGGAAATTATTAATACCTACAATATTCGTGTTGTTAAGGTTGGTCAGTATCCGAACGAACGAGATCGCGCTGCTAGTATATGAATTTTGAGGCACTTCGCAGTTGTAAATTTAAAATTATTGTTTTCAGTGTAAATCGATAAATATTATTCTATTCATACACTGCAGGTTGCTCTTTTTTTTTCACTGTATCTATAATAGTCATAGTTTCATAACATAATAATGTTGATGTTTAAAATGTAACAACCCTGCAGACGCATTAAATACTCACACCCATTATTATTTAGACAAATACGACGGGTCACATATATGCCGTTTAGACGTTTAGTATAACACTAGAATACGACCCGAGTTACCTTTACGAAACAAATAATTAACGAAATACAAACGTGACATTATAATATGCCACCAATCCGACCGCTATTGAAACATTTTACTTATACAATAATATGTAACTACCGAATATCTTACCAATTTAATTTTGTAATGTTCGGATTTCACGCATCATATCGTAAATACATTATGTGTAATTTAATCATTTTCGGTGCCACTGGCGTATTTACGACTTCGGGTGTCGTTCCACGGGGACAGTCGTTGTGTCTTGGCTGATTGCACGTCGGTCGTGCGAAAGTAAAATAAATAAAACAAGATTATCATTATTATTATTATTACGACACGCGAGTGATTTATCGCGCGTTCAGTCGTCAGTTTTACCTGTACGCATATTAATATCCTATAGGCTATAACTAATATTATAATAAAATAATAATAATACAAATGCATATTATAATATAATACGTACGTACGAAGACGACGCGTGGGCGTGAGAGAGAGAGAGAGAGAGAGAGAGAGAGAGAGAGAGTGAAGAGAGGAGAGGAGTTATGGGGAAATATAGACGGCGACAGGAAACTGGTTTGCTCTTGCGATTCACGGACTCGTGTGTCACTTAATTCTTTTTTACTCGTGCCTACTCGTTTTTAGTGATATTTCGTGTGTATATTCCTCCGCGTGACCACCTCCTCTTTAATATCTCGATCGACAGTCCGTTTACTACCGGTCGGTCTCGCGTGATAGCTACTGCAGACGCCGTAAAAAAACAAAAAACCTAAAGGAAAACAAAACGAAAAAAAACCATCTCCTGCGTTTCCGATTATTATTATTATTGTAATATGCGTTATTGTTTACTGTTGCGCAAGTGTGGCGCGCCTTTACTTCTATATGCGGTCGTATAATACTATGTACGAGTACCTACCGACGACGCGACGACGGCAATAATACAGGCGTCTCTTGGGCCGTGGTTTCCTCGACCTACGCGAAAAACGCTGCCGCCGTCGGGACGGGGTTTCGTTTTGTTTCTCGTTTTACAGGTCGAGCGTGACCTCCGCCATCTGTTCGAAAAACAACACCCGGACACCGACCGAACACCCGCGTCGTACTTTCGCACTCTAAACGCGCCAAAGACCACCACAAGGTCCTATACGTATTTTCCGATGATTCCTATGGTAGATGTGAGTCACCAACAATGTGGAATGAAAACCATATGAGTTACAGGAGTGACCTACATATTATGAGGTGACGTGTGAATTGCGCAGACCCAAATAATTCCCTTCATTGCTTCTTGAAGACATATAGGACAACTAACACACCAATCCCCGATTACTTACGTTTTACTGAATTCATAGGTTTATTTAAAATTATTGTCATCTTGCGAAAAACCATTCGTAATACGCTCATTAGTTGAGCAAATAATATTAATGAAAAAATAATTTTTCAAATCAAAAACCCCAGCTGTCTTCAATTGTAATTTTGTCAACAAATCCGGAGAAGTTTGTCCCTCTGCAACTTGTACTTATTTTAATAGTACCTAGTATGCAACCATATTTTCTTCCATAAATTTGGGTGTATAGAGACTCCGCAAAGTATTTATCTAAATATTTAAAATAAAAAATAAAATATTTAATTTGTCTTTACAGGGCCCAAGGCCGTCCATTACACGGCCCTTTAAAAAAACTGATCCAAGATGACAATCTTAGGGTCAAAGAACAATGTAATATACCAAATGGTAAATACCATGTACGCTTATTACGCGCACATATCAATTTTCTAATCACGTTTTTCAATTAAATATATTTTTACGCTTTCTGTTATAATATGTATTATACATTTGAGCTTATTATGAAAATACACCACAGGTGTGGCCAGGCCGGCTAAAACTAACTGCATGTATGCAACGACCATTACCTGAAAAATAAACCACGAGATAGATCTGAACTCGAGATGCAAACACATTCGAAAGCCGCCTTTAAAAAGAGTCCGTCCTTGGTCGATTACCATATTTGCATATTCGTATTAAAATAATAATTATTGAAACAAAAAACGAGTATAATTTACGGTCGTAGAATTGATGAAAAAAAATATACATTCGCATGACGAAATATTATGTTATTTTCCACATAACTTATGATTAATAATTACCTCTAAAACCATAGTTAACAATTTCCTAAACTGCAAAGAATTAAACATTTTATTACCGTAATAATGGCTAACAGTATACGCTATTACTGTCGTCTCCAGTGGTTGTTTTTGAAGGGGGGGGGGCTTGTTCACCATTGGCCTTGTTTTTAATGGTAGACACTAATCTATGTAAATTACATTATAGAAAGTATATTATTAATAACGAATTAAAAAAAAAAATACCTATCAAAAATTATATGATAATAATATAACTATTAATTATGTATACTCTTCTAAAAGAAATACATATTTATTCTTATCGTTAATAAGTCTAATTTTTTTCATTTATATTTATCATAATTCATTATATACTAAAATAGTTATAATGTAAAACAAAAACATCATCCATGATGAATAGACATTAATTTTACAATAATACATAGGTTCTTCCCGACAAATGTCACGAAATTGTATGTTATTATCTATGTTTATAATATTATACAATTAATTAATATTATTACTACATCGCATGACAAGAACATTAAGAATTAATTTACATTTATGTAAAATTTTAATTTGACACGAATATTATATTTGTTTTTTTGTTCGGCGTAATGTTCGTTCAACACTTTTAATATTAGTATGTTAGTTTTCTGATAAGAAGTAACGTGGACGCCGAATGTAGTTAAGGTGGTTTATTGATTTTATGTATTTTATTGATTATTAATTATTGTGGTTGTTGAATATCGGCGTTATTACAGTATTTCCTGTCTGAGTTGTACTTACCTAAATACATAAGACGTTTATTGCGAGTGTTCGAGATTTAAATCCTATGCAATTTATTACTTATATACGTCGACACATATTATAGTAAACAAACTTCAATCACGTCCACGCATGATAGTAAAAACCTTTAATCACGCACAGATGTGCACACACAGTTTGATATAATTTGCAGATAAAACGCACGAATTCGATTTGTTATTTTGTCGAAGAAGTAATAGTAATATATAAATATATATATTATATATATGTATAGGTAATACTATACTATATCGCTAATGGATTTGTTTACATTTTTTTAATAATATATTACCGCTGAGTGATTATAATATATATGTTTGATATCGATGGTTCTTAAGTGCTCAATCGATAATTCATTTTAACAATATTTAATAGGTAATATATTTTTTTTACCGTGATTGTCGATACGTTATCGTGTATACTTCATAAAAGTGTTGGATTTCATATTATTATATATTAATTTAAATAAAATGTAAACTTCTGTAATGATTAGTGCGGTGGAATGCGCCAGATTACGTATAAATTATTATATAAACATCCATCATAGTACCAATACCTATATGTAATATGTAAAGGTTAAATTATTGCATTGCACATACCTATAATGGCTAATATATGGAAACGAATTGGCGCGAGTGTAAAATAGGTACGCTTGCGTGAAAAAGTAATTTGACCGATTAATTAGTTTATGGAACATTCTAATGTTATGTGCATTATAATATAGTTCCGACAAGACAACGTTTAACGATAATTTAAATTTTAAATGTTATGTG